TAGCCGCTAAGATGACTGGGATGTCTTATCCCTCCACTGTTGATGGCCTATAGAAGAGCAGAGCATGAAGCCACTGGATACACTCCAGCAAAGTTGATGTTTGGTTGGGAACTTTGGTTGCCAGTGGATCTGATAACAGGACGCCCACCTTATGAAGAGTTCCCTGAAAATGTGTCAGAGTTCGTGAAAGTGTTATCTGTAATTTACTTTATAATTGTTTAATACCCATTGTTCTTTGCAGGCTCATTATTATATTTTAAGTGCCTGTTTTTGTTGTATCAGAAAATTAAAACAGAGAATTTTTTAACTTTACTCACAAGAGACAATTAATCCAATTAAAAAGACAAAGAGATAGCAATTAGTTAAGATACTATGTTCATTGAAAATACCTTTACAGTTAATAACTGTCCAAAAGACCCTATCAAATGAGTATAAGAAACAAAACTAATTCAACCAATCTAGCTTAAGATGTATCAGGTAAGTACAATCATTCATCATCAGAATGTTATAAGTCACTCAATATTCAATACTACATAATTAGTTTTGTTCTTCACGACAGAGAATAATGAGTACATCTTGACTTCATAAGTCTAAGCAAGGTTTTGTCTTTTGTTTCCTAATTTTAACAACCGTTCTTCATTCAAAACAAATAAATTTTATATTATCTGCCAGTATCCTAAGGGAATTACATAGAAGGCAGTAATGTGTACCAAGTTAATAGATGAGTAATAAAAATATATTTAGAAATATGTATCCAAACAAAAAACAGGAGATTAGACAAGATATTAATTTTTCTTCAAAACACTAGTTAAAAAAGCAGATGTACAGGTATATTGTCACTGTTAAATATACAAATTTAACCTATGGTTTATAAAAAAACAACATCAAAATTGCTTTTCAAATCTCCTATATAACTGAAACAAGTTTTGGCAGAAGCTTAAAATATTATCAGGATCTATTATTTCCCATTATTCAACCACTGATAAATGGTAAAAAAATCCTTTACATCATATAAGTTAATAATTGCTTATGTGGTGATCTCAGACGAAATTGATTTGCCATGGAAATGAGATGATAGGTATACAGAATAATAGGATATATATAAATAAGATATCTATTACAATGTAGTTCTGTATTTCTTTGAAATTGATTGATTGAGTTTGTGAAAGGAAAATAATGAGACTGGACACAATGTAAGACAGAATGAACAATCTTTATTATTTAAAACACAAACACGGCATGTGTACTTGGTTTGGATGCTCGACAATTGCTTTTACTGAAACTCAGCAGTTCTTTCTCCAAACTGCTGTTGAAATATTTGAAACCATGTGACATTGATCTTGCAGTTCCCACTGAAGAGTACACATGTGAGCACACCCGGGAGGAATGAGGGATTCTAAAGAAGCCCACATCTCCAAAGGAGGTAGAACCTCTCGAGCAGGCAGAGAAGGAGAGGATACAGCCTTGACTACCAATCTCTCTATATCCCAAATACAAAGGGGAGATGTCCGTGCCCCACTGTGATGGAAATTGAATAATATGTCCAAAGGAATGAGATACTGAGTGAGGGAAAGAACTGATTTCTCTAACTTGATCAACCAACCTACTCTTGCCACATCCTGGAGGAGCAAACAAGTATGTGCTACAGATGCCGCATGGGAAGGAGCCAGAAGAAGCCAGTTGTCCATATAATGATGAGTCCTGAGATATAAAGGATGGAGATGGTGAACAAAAATTTGGACAAACTGACAAAAGATGTAAAGTTCCATGGCAAGCTCCATATGGAAGAGCCTGAAACTTGTAAACGAACCAAAGAAAATGACAGGAGGAGGGAGGTATGGGCACATGAAGATAAGCATTTGCTACATCGAATTTGGTCATCCACATAAATGAAATGAAAAGATGGGACAGAAAGGATTCCATGGTGAAGCGAGGGAGTTCCAGATATTGATTGAAGCGAGACAGATCTATGACTGGTCTCCAATCTCTGGTCTTCTTGGGGACAATAAACAGTTGAGAATAAAAACTGGAAGAAACTGTAACTACTGGTTCGATAGCATTCTTGAGCAGAAGTTCTGACACAGCCTCGAAAAGGCTAATGCAAGAAACTGGATCGTTTGGAGACCTGAAGTGAAGAGAAAGAACTCGGGCTAAAACCTGGAGACCTCACTGATCTATAGAAAAAGTTCCCCAAACCTCCACAAAGGAGTGGACACTGGCCCCTATTGGACCTGAACCCACAGGATAGTCACCGACTACCACTGCTGGCACTCCCGTGTGTGTAGTTGACATGAGGGTATGGGTGAGAACAACTAGACACATGTAAAGGAGGAGGTGCAGACTCAGAAAGATGTGAAACAACTATAGGATCAGAAGAAGAGGAGGTGGAATGCTGGGATAAATGATTCACCAAGGAAGAGAGAGAGAATTATGTAAGCAGGTCACATCAACCTTTGCCTCCAAAAAATCAGAGTGACCCCCAAAAATAGTATCATGCAAAAAAGGAGCTGCCCGTAAGTTCCAAAGGGAAGAAGGGGGAAGGCAAACTACCATAAGTAGTGCATCACTCCCCAACAAGTCCCAACAACAAGTATGCCATATAAGGAGTGATAGGGCAGACGAGGAAAGTGTAGCAAAAGTCAACCACAAAAGGAAACCGAGTTCCCCCAAAAAATCATCAGGAGAATGGCAAAATGCCTCTGATAATAGGTGCATAGAAAAGAGGTAACATAAGACATGAGTAAGAGTGAGATGTATTTTCAAAAACTGGGCCTGAGACAAAGAGACATAAGACTCAGGATTAGAACCCCCTAGAGGTAAAAGGGGCTGAAACATTGAGAATCCAAATAAGGACTGGGAGAAGAATGAAAGGCCAAAGCATGTTGCTCAGAAACACGAGGGGGGCAAGGCATAGCAGAATCCAAAAGAATTTGAGACAAAAATCTTTGAACAAGAACCTCTATATTTGGGGAAGGGGAAAACAAAGTAATCTGAAGAAGGGAGCTCACTTAATAGGGAAGGGGACAAATCATAAGACACAGGAGAAAGTTTCAAAATATTGCAAACCTGAGTAATCAACTCAACTGTAGAAATGGCAGTGAAGGTTGAATGTCCTCCATTGTTGCCTAAAAAGAAGGCAGAGTAAACGAATGAGCAGGAAAAACTTGGTCAAATTCCTCCTCCTCCTCACACCACCTCACGTGGAGAAGAAGATGAACCAGGCCCCATGTAGGAAGCTAACTCCTGCCGAATCAAAGCCTACACTTCCATGGCTGATAGTGCCAATCCCGTGACTTGAGTAATAGGGTTAAACACGTCTCCAGATAAAGCAGGAGTCGACATAGTAGATGCAGTAAATTGTTAGTACATAATTTGCAAAAATAAAAATGCAAGAAAAATACATAATAAACTCTAAACTTTAAGCAAACTAGCTGGAAGTAAATCAAGAGAAAAAAAAGTATAATCATGGAAACAAAGCAATAAATTTCCACACAAGAAATCAAAAGCAAGTGAGAAACGTGTCCAACTAACAGCATGCTAATCGAAAAAGTGAGTTACACAAAATGTAATACAGAGGGAGTCGGTTGCTCAGGGAGTGTATGTTGTGTTCCTATTGGTGGAGCATTGTCACATGCACTAAGTATGCTAATTGAGTAGCAGGAACTGAGGGGTATAAAAAGCTTAGTCCATTAGGCAAGAAATAAGATTTTTAATGTATTAGATGGCAGTCCAAGATCAAGAGAAGCTATATATATAAGAGAAGGTATGTATCATATTGGAACCTAACATTACTTAGATAATTTGTTAGTGTTAGACTTATCCAGATGGACAAGTGCTATCCACATTCAAACTTAATGGAGGTCATAACCTTCAGGTATCACCTGATTTAATATTGGGAGATACTGCTGTGGATATCCATGTACAAGGTGCAGCTTTACAGCCATACCTAATATGGTAAACTAGAACGAGAGTTGATCCACAAGTTATGAGAAAAAAAAACATGGAAAAATGATAACAAAGTATAAATTGACGTGTTCAAATGAAAACTTTTTCTAGTTTAATTTCTGTGATATGACTCCTCTTGAGTGGTCCCAAGTGGCTTGCAGTTTGTTTTTTTGGCATACCTAGTGCCCCTTGGTTCATTTAGAAGGCAGAATGAATGTCACAGCTTACCTCATAATAACTTCTGATCAAGTACATCCAGTGATGCTTCATATATACCCTGAAGAGAACAGCTTCTTTCAAAATGACAATGCTTCTACCCACAGTGCTCAAAACGTGCAAGCATGGTTTGAGGAATATGACTAGGATTTAAAGCATCTTTCAGGGCTACCACAGTCTCATGATCTCAATCTAAATGAGTATCTCTGGAATTAGCTTGAAAGATATATCTGTTATCAGGATTCTTTGCTCACCTCACTCCATAAATTATGTACAATATTGATGTTTGAATTGAAAAAAATCCCTCAGGACTCCTTCAAGTGGTTTTTGGAATCTACACCACATCGTGATGTGGCTTTTATTCAGGCAAAACGTAGCCCAACCCTTTATAGATATATATCCGAATAAAGTGGCCAGCCAGAGTATATGAAGAATTAGCTTAAAGCTTTTGCAAATATAAAATAATAATAATAATAATGGCTAACAGCCATTAGTAACACTTTGATAACTATTTATTTAATTAACATATGGTTTAAAAGATTCTAGTGTTTATTACCTACTACTCACGCCATGTGAATTAAAACTTTATGAGAAACTGTTCCAATTATCCAAAATAAAAGTTGTGAATAATTTATTGATAGGGAGTGATGCAATTTATATTTATTTCTCATATCATATTACATTCAGCGAGGAGACTGAGAATTAAAATAAACAACAAATATTATCCACAAATTAAGAAACAGGAGTGAGCCAAAACTTGTAAGTCTAAAGTAAGAAAACTGTTAATGTGACAAATTCTCATCTAGATTCATTAAATAACAGCTTATATTAACAAATGCAATTGACTCTAAAACTTAGAGCATATGTATAATGTACATCACAAAACAAACAGACATTTTTTTTAAATATTTATACTCACTTCTTGTTCAAGGTCTTTCTGCTGAGAGAGTAAATGCCTGTTTTCTTTCTGTAAGTTTGCCACACTGTCCTCCAGTTTGATTCTCATCTTTTCCTCTTGTTCGAAACTGGTTTTCATTTCTTCATATTCCTTTTCAAGATCTTTCGTTTTTTCAAGAACATTTTGAAAGCTACGAAATTATGACAAGAAACAGACATGTAAATTATACTATAACACAAAATAGGAAGAAAATTACTATGCATTAAACCAAATGCATTTGAATTTTTATGCATAAAAAGCATTAGAATAGAAAATTTTCATCCAAAATACAAAATGTACATATCAAACTTAATAAAAGCAGATTCTTAATCAAGTACATTTAAGTAGTTATTTAAAGAAAATTCTAGTAGAAGGTATACTAATTTCATTTTCCTGCATAACATGTAAAAGTGTGCATTATTTTAGTGAATATCAGTGTGAATATAACTGATAACTGTTCATGATATGAAAAATTCAAGAATGTATATCTTTTTAATGAGTTGAAGTAATTCCTTTTTAATGCTTTATATATATAAAGGCTATAATGTGGGATATAAAATTTGTACATTTGATTTGATTTTTGCCTGGGGTTGTTTTTGTTCATTTAGATGTCATTTATCACAGGAATGGATTTGCTTTTTTTAATGCAATCCTTCCTTTTGATTTTGTATTGCTTGACTGTTATATACATAATTATTTTTCAATTATACTTCTATATACCACAGAAACAGTTTTTGACAATGTATTGAAAAGTTATTTTGCACTGAATAGAAATCTTTATGTTTTACTCACCATATATTCATTAGGTGGTAAAACACACCCATTTTATGACCAGCTAACACAATCATATTTTGCATTAAGTTTGAAGAAAGTAATTCTAAAGTTTCCAACTATTCCATCCAGTATTTTTTGCTGTTGTTTTTTGTAATGCAATAATACAAACTATACAACAAGCAGATGAAATCTTCACACCCAGAGTCAAGGGAATAAAGCATAAGGCTACTGTTAGGCAGTAGTTACACACCCCAATCCCCCATTAAGACTTTCGTTTGGATTGTTTTTGCCAATACTTTTTTTACTGTGACCATTGGTGGCATACAGTAACAACACAATGGGTGGGCACAATATTTCCTAAAACAAGATAATGATTAATGGCTATTCTATTATGAGTACCAAGTCTCCCATTGTTTAATACTAGGGAAAATGCCAACAGAAGCTAGTAGAAAGCACCAGTGGGTCATCATATGTGATGCACGTGCAAGTAGTATCGTGTCTGCATAATACTGTGAGACAATCCATTAATGGAAATGCTAACTGATTATCCAATCCATCAAAAATTAATATCTATTTGGATTTCATCTGTTAGTGTAATATTTGATTCAATCACATATTTGTCCCATTTCTAATCATAATTAAGTTGAAAGTTATAAATCTGGTAACAATGAAGTAGATTTGACTTTACTCAGTCTAGAAATTTAGACTGCGATTATACAGTCAACCACTCACTATGCTGTCATATATAAATTATGCAAAAAATGTCAAAACCATGTAATCACATTAAGTTCAGGTCGATACAAAATCAAAAATGATTTCAAACGTAACTGTACAAATAAAACAATATGGCAGTGATTCATTTTGTTATCATTCTTATGATTAATAATATATTCATATACACTTAATTATATATACAAATAAATAAAATTAATATATTCATGCTTTATGAATTACAGCCTCACTGCCATTTCAAAATAATTTTGTACAGCCCATTTGACACTAATATTTCACAAGAAATCATCTTTTTTGAGATTAAAATCTGCTTGCCTACTATTCCATGATTGAAAAACCAGTGAATTAACTTTTAAAACATAATTGGTTTTATATATATATATATATTCTAACATTTCCAAATAACAGATTGTTATGTACCTGCTGACTTTCAGTCTCAACTGTTCATTTTCAGTCATCAGCTGGTTGGTAGTTTCTTCACTTTGAGATATCTGTGCTCTCAGTCTTTCATTTTCAGCTTGAAGTTTTTTATTATGGAAACCAAGTTCTTCTACTTCATTTAATAAATCAATGAAGTCTCTACAAGATAATAGCATGGCTTTGAAAAACATAAACATTTTTCTAAACATGTAAAATAGTATTTCTACTGAAACCATATTGATTTAAAACACTGCAATTAACAACACTACAAAGGACACTTATAATACAATAATATGTTTTAGATAGCATAATAGTTTCATTTTCTATACTTGATTTTTGAAACTAATCTGATATTTTTAAACTGAAAAAGAGTTATGAAACATAACAGTAAAGCCTGAATCATTTTCCCCAGAAATATCTATTTTCAGTTTAACACTGAAGGTAACAAACATTAAAACAGATGAAGAAAACGTTTCCCTAACTAGTGGAAGAATTTGGTCCTACTATTTATTTGATTAGGCAATTATAAGTTCAGGTTGTAACAGTAACAATAAGGTTATCATCATTTAAGCTTTTTTTTTGACACATCAATCAAAAATATTCCTTCAAAGGCAGATCAAATATGAAATAACAGTTGACCATAAATAGGTATTATCGTAAGCATATTGTGAAAATTATTATTAAATTAGCTGTTGAGACGAGAATGCTGTAGGCAAAAGATTAAATCTGTAGTAGAATGACAGCAGAGTGTTAATACCTAGTTTGTATTTTTTGTTTTTAGCAGTAGAAATACTTCATATAACTATAATGAATCCTAGAATAATTACTAACCTTTCTGGCTATTTCCACTAAAAATGGATTTTTGTTTATTAAATTTACAAACTAATTCTTTAAAATTATATTAAATAATTTTAAGTTGGTTTTTCTTTCACATAATTCAGCCTGAGGTGATAAGGACTTTAACAGTCTAAAATAATACCATTAAGTTTGAGATAGTGTGGTTTTGGTGAAAATATATTGAATGAGCTTAAGCTCTCATCAGGTGTTTTTTTAATTGTTAATTAAAACTAGCTTAGAATTGTTATGACCACTCGAAATTAGTAAATTAGTACATGATCATCGGTGAAAACTATGATATTAGCAAATTAATCTCCAGTTAATAAATGGAATTAATAAAAACTATTAATATATCTTGGCAAGTAGATTCATTAACCAAATGTGTATGGGACCACTATTGAAGAAGGAATGTTAACTATAATTCCGAATTTTCTATGTGTATTTAGAAAAATGTGGCAAACTTTTAGTGAGTTGTACAAGTCTGTTCTACAAACAAAAATACAGAAATATTACAGATTTATTTGTACTCAAAATGTGTCTGTGAATTGTAAGTCTGACTCAGACTCTGACAAGTTGAAGTGTAAGGTGATGTTCATGTGAAGAGTAAAAATATTTCTGACCATCACACAGTTTGTATATTGCATGTGCATAACTTCTAGAACCTACAAGATATATATCCACTGTTTTTGTTTCAGTATCCCTGTATATTTTAGCTGGTATTTGTGAATAAATAGATTTATTTTATGAAAGCAAACAACTTATCAATACTAATATTTCCAATTATTACTACTTTTGAATATTCCAACTGTCTAAGACTCATGTGAGAATAACTAATTAGTTGAATGTAACTGATCAACTACAAAGATGAATAAACATTTAACAAATTCCACTTAACACCAGCTCTACTTTACTCTGAGATATAACTTGTGTACACTACTATTCAAGCATTTACATTGTATTCATTCACAAAAACTATAATATTTGCAAGAAAAATATTAAAATTCATCCAAAAGCTGAAATATGTGTAATACACTTTCAAATACAAATGAAGGGAAAATACAGCTTATATTAAAGTTAACATTTTCCTAAACTGAAAATGTATTTCTGATAGATACTTACCTCCTCTCACAAAATAGCTTTTCTCAATTAGTACTTCTGTCTATTGGCACAAATTTTCAATGCCCATCACTAGCCTTCTACCTCCTGCTTCTGCACATCCACATGTAAATTATTATGCAGCAGCTCTCCACCAATAGGAGTGTGACACAACCCCTATCATAATCAATGACCTCTCCAAATTTGCATTTGTTAATCACTTCGAGATTGGTCATAGGATTTACACCATGTATCACTGGAAGTGGGAAGGCTGGGTAGGAAAAGTGAATGGAGGTAAGTATCTAACAGAAATACATTTTCAGTTGAAAAAATGTTAACTTCCGATATGATATCTTACCTCCTCTCACAAAATAGCTAGAATCCCACATTGAGCTGGTGGAGAGGTGAGGAAAAAATGATCCCCTTAAGGAATATCCCAAAGGGAGACCATGAGGTGTGGAACCAAAAAAGAAAATATTACACCTCAGTGGGAGACTGCACCATATCTGATCCAGGTGTATTCTTTGCTCTTTTATGACTGTATCATGAACATAAAAGGCAAAAAAACATGAAAGAATCCCTTAATACATATTACCTCTTAATGGGACCCTGGGTGTTAAGTGGATGGGGCACAACACATTGTAGTGGTAGTTCAACCTCATCCAACACCTGGCAGCATCTGAACAGTAATTGGTAGGGAAAACAAGATTCCATACCAAAATCCGTCTCCACTTGCATGTATTTCCAGCCCAACCAACATCTGATCAATCATGAACCAACATCCAGCAGATATTAGGTGGACAAGAAATTAATGTCACTTTTTTTTAAATGAAAGAACCCTAACAACTTATATATCAAAACAAAACATTTATTAAATGATATAGTCTCCATTCTTATCGTTGATGCTTTTCAATCTTACAGTCAGGTTGTTAATGTCCTGATTAAAGAAATCACTTGGCTTTGAAGCAAAAAACATATCGATGTTCTCTTTAAAACCTTCCATATTTGCATATGTTTTCCCATTAAGATGATGTTGCAGCAAACGAAAAAGATGGTAATCTGATGGTTACATATTTGGAAAATATCTGCGTTGCATCAAACATGCCACATGTGGATGTGCATTGTTGTGGAGAATAAGAACACTTTTCCAATTGATGAGTGAAGGTTGTTTCTGATGAAGGGCTTGATTTAAACGTTCCAGTTGCTGACTATAGAACTCTGCATTGACAATTTGCTGTGGATTGAGGAGTTTGAAATGAATTACTCCTTTGATGTCCCACCAAATGCAAAGCATCACTTTCTGCGGATGGAGTCCAGGTTTTGGGGTTGGAAGTGGTTTTTGTCTAGGACTGAGCCATTGTTTTTGGCATTTAATATTCGTATAGAGAATCCATTTGTTATCACTGGTGATAATTCTATCCAAAAATGTTTCATGTGCATTACACGCCAGAAGAGACGAAGCAACATTCACACATTGGAAATGATGATCATGAGACACCTTCTTTAAGGAGTTTTCTCATATTCCTTAGATGTTTATGTATTGTTTCATGAGAGACATGAAATTTCAGGGCCATTTCACAAGTGTGTTGCCTTGGGTTAGACTCAACAAGTGTCTTCAGAGCATCAATATCAATTCTAAAATATCGGCCCCTGCCATTACAGTTCTTAAGGCTAAAGTCACCTGAACAAAATTTGATGAACCATCATTGACACTTACGACATTCAAAACATTTACATAAACTTCTTTGTAATCCTTTGTGGCTACAGAGGTGATTTTTCCCTTCTTGTATTCAAACAGCATTACATGCCAAATGTGTGTCTCGTCATGTACCATCACTATAAGGGATTAGAATATACTAAACTTTACACATTATATAGGCTACACTGACGTGACGTTTAGGTGGTTCATTTAACTATTATATGTGATGTACTTTTTTTTGGGAGTGGTTAATTCAAGTGTTCCAAAACAAGACATTAATAGTAGGAAAGTGGAAAGCCCTGGTGGGATGATATGTCTGGTCCAAAACCAGGCAGCACTGGGTATGTTTCTTCCAGTCCACAGTAGGATGGGGTGCCCAACCATACACAAGTGGGAATAGATGTGCTGCATTCAGCTACAACCAATACTAGATCCACTGGGAACCAACATTCAGCAGACTGTAGGAAGAGGAACCGCAAACCTGGGGTGCATCTACAGTCCAAAACGTGGTAGCATTGGGTATTTTTCAACTAGTGTGCAGTAGAACTTACTTACCTGGATCATCTCCAACCAACACCTCGACCCCCCCCCCCCCCGGGAACCACATCCAGAGAATGGTAAGTAGTAGGAGGAACGTCTCAGTCCAAGGGGTAAACTGCAATAAATATATATATTTGTAACATAGCAAAGTGCTTCAAACAAAACCAGGCGACATCTAGAATTGTACATCAAGTTTGCAGTAGGTCAGGCGTCCAAGGTACCCCCTTGCCTATCATATAAGACACTACTGTGGAATTGTCGGAATGGACCATCACTGAATGCCCCACACATCCAACAAGAAGTGAAGCAGAGCATGATGAACCACCAGCAACTCCAAAATGTTAATATGTAGGGATGATTTGGCCACTGTCCAATGACCCAAAACCTCTTGAGCAGGGACATATGCACCCCAACCTAAAGGGAAGCATCTTTAAAAAGATAACAATCTGGTCAAGGAGGTGGAAGAGGAACTCCAATAGTAGTATTGGTCCAATCCATCCACCAAGTGAAGTTGGCCTGTAGGTGGGGAGGCAGGGTAATAGGAGAATATAAAGGATCCTGATTGAGGCTTTATTGGTGAGTAACAACTAGTGAAGATGATGAATGTGGGCATGACCAAGGGGAATGAGGGATTCGAGAGAAACCTACATCCCCAAAAGAGATAGGGTCTCTCATGCAGTAGGAGAGGCCGACAGACTGTAAACAAGACATTCCATATTCCATAAATGAAGGGGAGAAGGCTGTGCCACACTGATGAGGGCAGTATAAAACACATTCAAATGAATCAGGTATTATGTGGGTGTGAGAAACAACTTCTCCACCGTGATGAGTCAACCCACTCTGGCAGTCTCTCAAAGAAGAAACTGAAAAAGAACAGCAGATTTGACCTGAGAGGAATCCAAAAATAGCCAGTTGTCCATACAATGGTGAAAATGAAGGCCTCTAGCATGAATCAGTCGAGGGAATGACCTGATTACTCGGCAGAAGGAGCCGAAGCCAGACCAATTGATATAGTCTGAAACTGATAAACATGCCCCTAATAAGCAAAACAGAGAAAATGCCCAGATCCCTGGGAGATGGGTATATGCAGATAGGCATCTGACACTTCGACCTTTGTCATCCACAACCAGGGAGTGAAAACCCACTGAAGGATTAAGTAAGACTCCATTGTGAATTTGGGTATGACCATGAAATGGTTCAGGAACAATAAATCTATAACTGGTGGCCAATCTACTGTCTTTGTGGGTATGACGAACAGAAGGGAGTAAAACTCCAACTGAGAATGTTCCCCAAGTTCTTCGGCCTCTTTCCGAAGAAAGTCCCTGACAAGAAAACAGGATCCCATTGTGGGGGGAAGGCAACAGAATGAGAAGGGCCAGACCCTATGAAAGAATGATCTTCAGATGTACAAGGTGAGTGAGGCATACTAACCCCAATCGAAACTGATTTCCAAAATAATGGGCATGAACTCCCACATCAGGAGGGAGGGAACACCAAATATTGGCCCATAGAATTGTTACCAAGAAGGGCAGGTTGAGAAACATAAGAAACATGAGATAATGATAATACAGCACAAATCTGATTAATTAATCCCACAAAGGGTAAAGGAGGTCTGGATAAATTCCTGCATAACACTCATGACTGGGAAGCATATACAAGGGGGTGGGAAAGGCTCACAAAATTCTTGTCCTCCCTGTCATACACCCCAGGAGCAGATATGGCAGGATATTCCTCATGTGGTGGTGAAGGATGCAACTACTTGAAACTGCGAGCATATAGTGACAGTTCCAAACATGAAGAAAAAATAAATAGAAAATGAAAAGTAAGAAAAGTTGGAAAAAGCAACCTTTAACAATTCCAAAATGCAAAAAAATAAACAAATATTAAAGAAAAACTAAGTCTGTAGTATAAAGGAATACATCGACAAATGTGCAAGCCAAAACAAGCATGACTGTACAGTACTACTTCCAATCAAGAAGTGATTAATGAGGGAAAATTTGGAGAGGGAGCTGGTTATGATAGGGGTTGTGTTGCAATCCTATTGGTGGAGAGCTACTGCATAACAATTCACATGTGGATATGCAAGAGCAGGAGGTGGAAGGCTAGTGCTGAGCATTGAAAATTTGCACAGATAGAGGGCAGTACTAATCAAGAAAAGCTATTTTGTGAGAGGAGGTAAGATATTGTATTGAAATAAATATTTCAATGGAAGCAATAATCTTTTGAGACATACATTTTCTATGAACATATTCTAAAATATAAAAGTACTGGAAGACCATGCCCCATTATAATGGTAAGTAAACACACCTTTAACATTAATAATAGTTGTGATTCTGTGATTAACAACTGCTATCAACCAAATTATAGGGGTGAGTTAAACCGATACTCTTCTTGCAAATCAGCTAGATTATGAGGTCAGTCCTCTCTGGGGTATTAAAAAATATCTAATAGCAGTTTAATCAGATTCATGACAGAGATCTGGTAGGTCAAGGCATATTCTGTACATCATTTGACTCAAATTGCTATACATTTCATAATGCATTTTTTAGTTGAAAGAGATGTTCTTTTGATGAAAATCCATCAACATAGACAGCGCAGCATTATCCAGAATATCACAGTATGAAAGCATTTATGGTTCCTTTATCTATGACCAGTGGACCAAGTTCAAAATTCTAAATACTATCCCTCATCATTCTTCATGTTTGAGATGAGAAATTCTCCACGTTGCATTAACTGAATGTGCACAGGTCAACACTGTATTGTAGATGGAATGTTGACTATAATTCTGAATTAACTATGAGTATCTATATTAAATGTAGCAAATTTTTAGAAAAATGTACAAATCTGTTGTATACAAAACATTAAATGTATTATAAAAAAATCTGTGCTCAAGATATGGCTGTGAATTGAAAAAAAATCAGTTTCACTGAGACTTCTATAATTCAAAGTGCAATGTGATGTTTCTGTGAAGAATAAAAATACTTTTGTCCATTGTACAGTCTTTTCAGTATCCCTGTATATGTTATCTAGTATTTATTCTTCTCTACCTTGAACTGTCTCTAAATCAGCAATGTAGGATAAAATGAATAATTTATAACTTTCACATCAAATAATAAATGTTTTGTTGAATGGCAATTTGTAAAAGGTCATGAACTGAACAATTTGACCCCCACTCGTGCACATACAGTTACACTAAAATTCTTCCATTAGAACTAAACAATGACTTAAGAGATTCATTACTCCATATAATGGTTTTCCATTATACTTCACCCCAATTTTAATCTGCAAGGCAACATGACACCTTGTATTTATGGTTGTAATAAATGACTCATAGGCTATAGACTGTCTTTGAAATCCAGCAGCATGGACCTTGTTACACTAACCTGCATTATGATTTCACAACTCACTTCAAAGTTCCATAGAATAAGGAGTGGTTTATTTTTTAGGCTTAGCCTGTACTTAAAATTAATACAGTTGGTTGATTTTTTCAGCATTTCACACACTACATCCAATTACCATTATTCTGTAATGTTCTTCACCCAAACTAGTTGTCAGTGGCAGATGTTGACCTTTATAAACCATATGGCACAGTGCACCTTGACATGCAAATTTGGTGTTAGTTGGAGGAGTGTGCTCTCCCAGTACTTTTAGTAATACACTATACAGGTGTAGAAATGAATAAAAACCCTATAACCCAAGCACTTTCGAAAGGTGGACCTTTCTTCTTCAGGGGCAAACTGCGAATGTACAGGTGTATATATACATGTAATTTGCTATACTAGCATAGTTGATTTATTTTTTGTACCTGCTAGTATTTCCTCCTGCCTTTCCTTCCATGCTAACTGATGACAACTTGGATGTGTTTAAAATACCTATGAAAATACATGGATTACTAAAATAAAATTTGTTAATTTTTAATGATTTAAAAAATCAGAATAATGTACAAAAAATTATTACTTGTTTTCAAAACAAAGAAAATATCAGTTTATCAAATATAGTTATTTATTATCAATTTCAAATATAATTTTTCAGATTTCAACAAATCACTCTATATCAATGATATTCCTTGTGAATTGAAAAACACATACTGAAAGAAGGTTTTTAGTTTAATGTAAATATTAAAGGATAATAAATTCACTGATGAGAACAAATGAAACACAGATTTTGAATAAAATGAAAACATATATTATTTACACAAATCAAACCTATTATATCAAACCAGCTATGAATAATTAGAGGCAACAAATTTCTGAATACTAAAATATCTTATTTAGAATATTTCAAAATAAATTGCTTTCTTAACACACTAATTATTTTAAATATCTACCCGAATACAGTTTTTAATTTTTTTATTGTTCCAGTAAAAGTCAATAATATTTGGGTAAAAACTGATAATAGAGTGTTAAGGAGGTTTCAATAAAGATAAGTGTACTAATCATTTTATATACTTTTACAACCATATTACTTACCTAATGAAGAATTAAAGGAACCTGTACTAGCGATATCACAACTGCTATCATGTTTTTCTTCAATAGAAAATGAAGAATCAAAAGGAAATGTACTATCTGATGTGAAGGTTTTATCATCATGCTCTTTACAACCTTGAATACTGATAAACCAGAAATAAAATACTAGTATCAGAACAAGTTTCACTAATGAGCTGTGCAAACATTACATAGCATTATGGCATGAAACAAAACACATATAAACAGTTTGCACTTTTTTATTTTACATCCTTACAGTGAAACATTAGTTTTTGTTTTGAAACATTATTTCTAAAAAACACGTTTTCAGAGGTTGGGGAGAGGTTGAATGCTATACTTAATGTTAAATACTTTTTGGAATATTTTAAAAGAAATTTTAAAGTTTTTAAAATCAAATTAATATCTTTTATATATAGCAGTTGGCTTAAGTCTAATCTAAGCAACTTAGAGAAAGTTAATCATCAAACATTATATGTCACTATCACTAATTACAAAAGAAAGTATTAAAATAAAAAAGTAATCAAATGTTACTATTAATACTTGCAGCTTATCATCACAGCTTCATCACGGTTACTTGCCATAAGTTAAATCTCTTACCAATGACATGTACAACAAAAACCTGATAAGCTACTAACACACTATATACGAGGTAGAACTTGATCTTTGACAAGTTCAAAGTATATGTAATACAAGCACATACACGTTTTACATACAAGGTGTTTTCATGCATACATCCAGCACTTTGATACATGTACACCTACATGTACTTTACTCTGCTCAAAATACTAGCGTTTTTATGATAGACACATAAAATCTCTCAAGACCAGTTATCCATTATTGATAGAACATATCTCATTGATAACAGTAACAAAGCTATCAAGATTAAAGGCCTCCAAACATAATCTTTCATGAACAATTTCTCTCTCAAGTAATTTGTTAAATCACATTACTAAATTTTTATATACATTATTTATGCATTATGACAAAATTTTTATATACATTATTTATGCATTATGACAAAATTTTTCATAAAAATTAGGTAAAAAAATATATGATCAAGAAATGGATGAGCTTCATACCATGAAAGTTATTCAGTTCATGTAAATGACATAAAAATAAAATTCTGCTTTTTCATTTTATTAAAAAGTAGCTGCAAACACGAAGTACAGTATTTTTGGATTTTTTTCAAGTGTACAAGTTAAATTTACAATAAGTTTAGTTAAAATGAAATAAATAATTATAATTTTTACATTCTTCACATTTTACCATTGCTCATAGTATATATCATGTAGAGCTGTAACAGCATAAAGGTAATAATATAAAGTTTAAATCTTCTGAAAGTCATAAAAATCATAACCTTTTGACAAGATACCCTGAATGTATCTATCTAATAGTGCAGTTGAGATTCTAGAACAGATTATTAAAGAGAAATGTTCCTACAAAAATTTAATTCATTCATAACATGTTATTTTTTTGTATTAATAAACATCCTACTGTTCACATATAAAAACAACTGGTGAATGTAACTTTACATCATTTTATTTTGCCAATCTTTATTTTCTATTTGAATTATTGTGTATAGGCCAAAATCAAAACACAACTGGAACAGTAAATAGTGCTAGTCAAAAATACAAATGATTAGCAGCTTTCTTTATGTTAAGATTTTTTGTCATCCAATGAAGCATATTTGTGATTAGCACAAAATGTGATGCAACAAATGCTTTGTATTATGTAGCACTCAATAAGCAATGTAAATTGTGACGCAAACTCCTTGAATAGGCCATTACACAGATTTACACATATTAATGTTCATAGTGTTATGAAAAACTTACAAAAAATGACATATTTTTAAAATGATCTTTTCTTTATTTTGAATTTGTACCACATAAAACAAGAGAATATCTAAAACATTTATACATGAATTTTGAATTATTCAAAAAAGGTACTTGAAACACATTAATGAATATCATACAGTGTATACTGTTGGAGTATGTTCAAGTCAAACTGAATTAACTTTAAAGCAATGGGATAGGCCCACTTAACAGGAGGTTCAACAAAATATATATTTTCAATAGTAGTACTGAATCTCTGAATAACTAGGTCTGAGAAAGAGATTGGACACAAAGTACTACACAAAAATGAACAATGTTTATTCAAATAACAAATAAAGTGTGTATCTATACTGACTGTTATTGAACTCAAACAGTCACTTCTACTGAATCCTATGTCTTCATCTGATCTAACTAAAATCATCTATCACACTGTTTAAATTCAATCTTTCTTATTTCACAAGAAATGTCACATTTAACTAGAGTGACTAGTATTTCTCACGTGACTGATCATCCTTATTCAAACAAAGGTGGGGCCATAACCTCCAAATACCATCTGTTCAACCACTGAAGGACACAGCTGTTGACATCCTTGCAAAACATGTAGCATTACAGCAATATCCTCCCATGGTCAGAACAGGCATTACTTCCAGAGAATAACAAAAGAACAAAAGCAGCTAGAATGAAATGAACTTACTGCTTTCTCAATCACATGTTATGGGAAACTTGTTCATGTGCAGAATAAATTATAAGATTAGAATGATATTATATTAAAATAGGAAGGTATAAATACATAGTATATCTATACACCACATTATCATTATTATCAGCTTAATGTTAGAATGTGGAAACTTGACTTACTTTCTTAACCCTCAAATTATCAACTTATTTTTAAATTGTTCACTATTGGTAGGGTCCACATCCCATATTGTATAATTTTGAATAAGTTAATTTTTTTTTGCCTGTTAAAGCTCTCAGTACACAGAAATAATAAAGAAAAGTAGATAAAATAACTCATTATGTAAAATACATAAGCGACTTCAGTAGCAATTAAAGGAATAAGTTGCATTACTTATGGTGTTTTTGTTAACATTTCTTTTGTGAGTGTGACTTGTATGTTGTTAGGAACCCTATAAACAACAATTTAGTGAATAAATAGTTTTAAAATTGCATTTAAAAATCCAAATATTTTAGGTAACAACTGTTTTAGCACCATTAAATAATTTCTGAATTCAAATATTCTAAGCATTCTGAAAGATAATTATGCCATTTAATTATAACTTAAACATAAACATAAGACCTATTATTGAAACACCTCCAAAATAAATTGTGAAGTTATTTCAATTGTATATAAAAAAAACCCAACCAAAATTTCATATCCTGGTGTAATCAGTATGAAATAAAGACACACTTTCACAGCAAACAGCTTGTATAATTATCTATAGGCTATTAAATTCAAAATATGACAGGATTTAAGCTGGGAGTATATGTTTAGAAAAAGAACAAACCTTCATAAAATAACTATGCAATTAGATATTTGTAGAATGAGACAACATATCAGAAGTGTACACATCATTGTTAAAATTTATTGCATACCAAATAACACTAATCCACTTAGTTTAAAATCATTCCCATCAATTACACTTGTTAAGTATTAATTACACTAGTAGGTGTTTTTCCAATACAGGTACATATAATATGTTTTCATCTCTTCGCGTACGTACTGCATTTGGTATTTGGAAAAATACAGCATCAATACTAGTTGTCAAAGGTACATAGGACACTTTCTTTTTTCATGTGCTATAGAATAACATAAACATGGATAATAATGTTTATTCTGAATATAATACCAAAGTCTCATTCACTATTTGAAATAGACAAACTAATAAAATTAATCAAAGTTTCATTACATGCACCTGTGCATATACAAGTGACGCAAAACACGTAGGACTGCATTAAGTCTTCAAGCTTTAACATGTATTTGATAAAGTTATGGTTATTATGAATATACACTGTTATGAAGAAAGTTTGTCAACAGCTTTTCAGCTAGAGGGAAAATTTCACTTTCATTTAAATCCAAATAATGCAATTTATGAAAAGCATATATTATGTTATAAACTGAGTCCAGGTGACTTTTTTATATAATTTTTACAGTGTGTGTAAAGTAGCTGTTTCATAAATTAATGAAGTATCCATGTCAAAAGTTCATATTTTGCTACTCTGTAAATATATTTCCGATAGATACTTACCTTCCTCTCACAAAATACCTTTCCTTGATTTATACTGCCCTCTATATGTGCAAATTTTTGTTTGCCACTAGCCTTTATGCTCCCACCTACCTTCATGTGTTTTCCACATGGTATAGTTGCATTGCAGCATGCAAATAAGTATGGACAGCCCTGCACCAACAGGAGTGTGACACACTCTCCTTGTACAGCTGACTCTCTCTATACACTAAAACCCAATCTTCAGTTTGAGATTAGGCAAGAAAAACACACTGAAAGTGGGGAGGATAGGTGGGAAGTGTGAAAGGAGATAATTATCTATCGTAAATATATTTTCAATGTAGGAAAGTATTAACTTCCAATATGATATCTTACCACAACTGAACCAGGTGTAGTCTTCACCCTAGATGAAAGAATGTGTCACAAAATGGGCAGAAAAAAAGCATATCTAAAAATATAAAAGTGCCTTTGGTGTAAAGTGGTTAAATTGCATCAGACCATAAGTGGGAGGTCAACTCCAATCCACAATCAGCGGCACTGACATTGGATCAATCGGCCCATAGTAAGAGGAGGGTCTTCTACCAATCACCTCAGACTCATGAACTACAAGGGAAGAAGTACTTTCATTCTGAGAACCTAAGCCATCATGTGTGCAAATCCAATATGACCAACACCTGTACCCCTGGTAACTGACATCCAGATGATGGTAGAAAGTTGGAAATGCAACATGGAGGGTTAACTCCAGTCCAAACCCATATGGCATTGGGAATGTATCATCCAGTTTAAGGTAAGAGGGGGGTCCCAGCCCACTCTGCTCCAACCAACAGCAATTGCCCAGGAACCAACATCCAGGCAGTGGTAGGAAGGAGGGTTCCCAGTTTCAGGGGTGAACTGCATATTGACATGTGATTGAAAAATTTAGGACACACCGTACAGAATCTGAAAGCATACAACAGATCCATGGTAGGAGGATAGCCCTGCCACCTACAATGGCAGAACACCACCAACTTACTCTTGACTGAGAAAGCCTCCATGGTCCACTACTCCAGCAGCAAGGAGCTGGTAAGTGGTAAGTACTTCCATACTCCATTAGAAGAAAGGGAAATAATGCACTGGATAATCTGGAGGAATGCAGCACTGAAGAAAGTGTAATGGATGATTGTGAAACCCTATTTTGAAAAGCAGACTGTATCCGACTTATATAATCAAGGGAATGGTATGGAAGGGCAACAATCCCTTTACTCATGCTTTACTCATGTTAGCCCATGAGAAGATGGTCCTGTAAGAGGAAAATATATAAGGAAAAGACACCAATTTAAAGATGAACTGATGTCTGAAGGGTGGTGACAGGTGTTAGATGATACCCAGCTGAGAAGGATAGTGCCAAAGGATGGACACAAATGTATGAAGAGTGGTCCACATGCTGGCCTGGACAATGTCTTCTAAAGGACAAGAAAAACGAGCAGCCAAAAGCATCATGAGTTGGTGAATCTGATGTGAGGAGACATGGAAAAGGTGATGAGAGTCAGGAGACAAGGAGGAATTGTTAAACACAGTCAGGTAGGGTAATAGGAGAAAGGTTATGGGAAACTGAAGGATTTCAGTGTATAAACAATCAGGAATTGGAACCACAAAAGGGAACCATGCAGTGCCCTAACACAAGAGATGATCGGGATCAGTACAGAAATATAGAAGGGAAATTGAAGGAAGGGTAATAGGAGTGAAGGCAACATTACCTTCAATTGCAGCAGAGAGGAAGGTATGATCAGGATAAAGGAGAACATAGGTTTTGTGGTAAAGGATGCAAGAGACATAAAGGGCAAACACATCTGACAGTCAATGTCCACGGGCCAACAGAAGGAAGAAAGAGGTTTTCAAGAATAAGTGATATATGAAACAAGAAGCCAATGGTTCAAACAGAGGGAGAGAAAGGGCAAGTAAGACAACATGTAAATCCCAATCCAGTATGGGTGTGGGTTGAGTTAGATGATAGAGATGAAAGGAACAAAATAAGAGGGAAATATTAGGAGAGGAAAAATACGTGGTGGAAGTGAGAAAAACGAAATGCAGAGGATAACACTACTCTATAACAGGCAATGTTTGAAACAGAAAGACCACTGTCGAAAAGCCGGCTAAAAAACTCAGATAGGTAAGGAATGGAAGATGAGGAAGGGATGAATCCCTGACACAGATCAATGGCAAAAAATATGCCACGTACACTGGTACGCTGACACAGAAGAGGGATGGACAGTTTATTTGCTAGCGTTGTAAGTCCTCAGATATACCACTGTGTCACTGGGGGGGAGGGGGCAGGGTGAACAGAGTAGAAAAGAAGAGACACTATGCAGGTGAATAGTCTAAAACTATTCACAAGGGACTGGACAAAAGCCATGTATGAAGCTAGAGTGTGGGGATGGAGGAGGGAAGGGGAGAGAGGAAGAGGCAATAGTGGTGACAACTGAAGAAGGAGAGGTTGTGGGAACTAAGGTTGAGCTGGTCATGATAGAACCACTAGAAGGATTCGACACAGAGTGGTTTGGATAATGGATAGAATCCTGGAAAAAAGATGAATGGGGGAATAGGCATAATTGTAGAGGCCTGTCCAATCTTGTTGGAGGGAATTTATTGCCAAAGCTGAAGGATGAGAAATAAGAGACCAAAACAGAGAGAATTTGGTATTCAGGTGGGTGACAAATGCATCCAGCCAGGGAGTACCTAACTGAGAGCATAGCCATTTAAAAACCTGAGGGTCAAGGGACCACTCCAAGGGGAGAATCTTGTGAGGACAAAATAATTAATGTGTGACATGACTGCAAGCACATGGGACATGACAATCCAGCAAACAAATGTGATGGCTGTAAGCCCAGCACAGCATGTCAAATGTATGAAGACACAGGGACCGCAACCAGGTGCCCTCATGCTGAGTGATGTAAGAGATAACTGTCAACTGTCGAGTTGTCGGAATGGATCATTACTATTTTGTTCCTCAAAACTCTCAACTGTAATGAGCCAGGAAGACTCCCCAAAACTATTTGCTGTAAAAATGGGGTGATGCACAGATCTCTCAAAGATGTAAGGGGGGGACACATGAGTTAAAAGAGTGTCCCTGCCCTAGAGGTCCCAACAACAAAGGAGCCATGTGTTGAAGGAAAGGGCAAAGGAGGACAAGCATGCCAACATGGACAGGATGAAGGAACAGGCATCTGCTAAAAAACCCTCAAGGGAATGACAGATAACCTCAAACAAAAGGTGTATGGAAGAAAGGTATGTATGTTAAGGTCAGACAAAGGAGGGAAAACTGTGCCTGTGAAAAGTGCAAACAGGTACAGGGTTTAAACCCCAAAGGGGTAGGAGTGAATCTAATTGTTACATGTCAAGAAACAGATTTGCTGAATGACAGTATGCTTATGCATGAGCTTTAGCTGCATGTGGGGGACATGGCATACTGAACCTCAAATGCAATTGCTGGGTAAAATGCTCTGCATGGATCCTGATGTCAGGGGAAGAAGGAAGAACAAAATATTTGGTGGAAGGTGCATCAGTCAATAGGGAGGGAAACTGGTCATAGGACACGAGAGACAAAGACAAAACATAACATAACTGTGATACTAACTCCAGAAAAGGAGAAGATGGTCGTGGCACATCTATAGTCTGAGAATGAGACTGCACAGCAAAGGAAGAGGGAGGAAAAGGGCTATCCAAATCCTTATCACCGGTTCTGGCTCCCCTGAAAAGGGGAGAAGTGGTTGATATACAGGAGACCCCTCAGCCCACATGAAAGAAGCCATCTCTTGGCAGACAAGGGACAAAACTTCCTCAACCAATAAAGTCAAACTTCAACCCATCGTGATAGGCCATTGTTCACCAGTAGTGTCTGAAGCAGTAGTGGTTGTGACTTGAGACTATGAATTTATGTTAAATCTCCTGAATATAAGAACACTCCAAGGAAATACATAAAATTAAATCTACGTGAAGCAATTATGAAACAACACAAAAAAGATGATAAGTGAAACTAAAAATTAATTCAAGTTAAAAAGATTTTTTTTGAGGTTGAAAAAACGAAAGCACAATCTCAAATTCAACAGGCAATGAACACTAACAATAAACATGCAGTGAGCAAGATGACTGATCTCTGTCATGTTAAATCGAGAAGGGAAGATTGGGTTCTACTGCATAGATGGAGTGAGTTGCACTAGGAAGGTGTGAAAACACGTGAGGGTAGGAGTATCCAGGCTAGTGGTGAGCAAAAATTTGCATATGGAGAGCAGCATAAGTTGATAAAACCTGTTATGTGAAAGGTGGTAAGATATTGAAAAAAACAACTAAGTGGATTAATATACAACGCTAAAAACAATAAACATAAATTAATGTCAAACAATGATTGAAAATTAACACGTCTTAACACTAATGTGCCAAATTGAAAGTGAAAATTGGGTTCTACAGTACAGAGGGAGCCAGCTGAAACAGGAGAGTGTGTCACGCACTTATTGGTGGAGGGTTATTGCATGCTTATTTGCATGCTACAATGCAGCTATACCATGTGGAGCGTAAAGGCAAGCAAAAATGTGCACATATAGAGGGCAGTACAAGTTGAGGAAAGCTATTTTGTGTATGGAGGTAAGCCATTATATTGAAAACAACTAACAGTATGAGACAGTATGTACTTCATTATTACCACACATTTCAAAACTCAGATAAAGTCCTTTTGATTATAGTAAATGTGTTCTTACTTACCATAAAGGGTTATCTCTTATGTGAACAGAAAATATTTTATTCTGTTTCATAAGGCAGGCAAAACTCTTCATATTAGTAAATATTCTTCTGTTATCTTCATGTGCTGTAGTATTCAAAAACTCTAAGAGAAGACTAATACTTGACACATTCTGATAAATACAAAAAATATATGTATACATTAGTTTAAAATGCATAATGCCACATTTTCTTAAAGGAACTTTGTAATTAATTTTACATTTACCTGGCTACAAGATTCTTATTTTTTATTTTGTCTGTCACACACCCACATACCCTAAACGTTATTTTATATGTGATTTTACAGGTACAAGGACAGATATACATATATAAGTCAAGTTATTCATCTTGTGTTTTTAAATAAGCACTAAAATTTGATGGTTCCTTGTTGGTAATGCCTTGTGTAAGAAGAGTTAAAAGTTAACGTTTTCCTACTCTGAAAATGTGTTTTTGATAGATACTTACCTCTCTTCACATAATAGCTTTTTTCAACGAACACTGGAAATTTCCACTCACCACTAGCCTTGTGCCCCCACCTACCTCCACATGTTTGCGCATGGCACAGCTGTGTTGTAGCATGCAACAACCCTCCAACAATAAGAGTGTGACACACCATCCTGGAGAAACTGACTCTCTCTATACTGTAGAACCCAATCATAACTTAGGCAAAAAGTAAGCACTGGAAGTTGGAAGGATGGGTGGGAAGTGTGAGAGGAGGTAATTATCTGTTGGAAAATACATTTTCAGTATAGGAAAATGTTAATTTTGGATATAATACCTTACCTTCGCTAGCATAATAGCTAGAATCCCACACTGAAATGGTGGGGGGACTGGTGCAATTTTACCTAGATGAGCACCCTTCGGAAAGTGTCCAAAGAGAGCTCATGGAGAGTGAAACCTCAATAGATGGGGTCACACCCATGGGAAACTGCACCACATCTATACAAGGTATACTCTTTGCCCATACTGAAGAAAATGTTGCAAAAAAGGGTGGAAAGAAACATATCCAATAAATTGGATGTGCAACTTGTTTAGTGTCTGGGGTGCATGAAACCTTAAGCAGTTGGTTAAACAACCTGGTGGAACTGAGAATGGAGCATCCAGGGCACAGTAGGATGAGGTTCCCTACTGTCTTCATCTCAGGCCCAGGAAACAGAAAGGAAAGAAGACTTCCATTCCATAACATGTGTGCAGACCTAGTACACAATTAACACCAGCCACCCAGGAACCCAACATCTGGGTGGTGATAGGACAGTGGAATGCAATGTGGAGGGTCAATCTCAGTCCATAACCAAGCAGCATTGGGAATGTATCATCCAGTCCAGGGTAGAAGCAGGATCCCAGCCCAACCACATGTGTGAGGACTTATGTTGGCCAGTCCAGCTCCAACCACACCAACACACAAAGAAACTGATATCCAGGCAAGCTCAGACCATATCCTCAAAACATGTTGCAAACAACAAAGTTAAACAATGGAATTGATAAAATAAGACATACTAGAATGTGAGAAGTCCTAAAAGAAACAGTCTGGTCTAAAGCCCAGAACAGAAGATTTTGAGTTTGAAAACACTGAATGTAGGGAACAAATGTTTAATTCATAGAATGAATTATGAAAAATTAACTTTGATGATACAACACAAGAACATTAAACGTCTTGAGACACTGGTAATGGTTTGAAACTAAGAACCAAAGTCTGCACTGCAATCAGTATAAAAGATATCCATGAATAAGTATATCCTCAAAGATGAAGGAATGAAAGAAAAAGCCAGGAAAAGTCAACCTACTGACCTACCAAAGAAAGTATTCTCCCAGAATAGAAACAAGAATAACAGGATGGTTCAACCCAAGATACTTTCCACAGTTCTGCCAAATTCTGGAAAGGGGCAAGGAATAGTTTCAACCTATAGGAATATGCTTATCATGACATATAAAATCACCACTTTTTTTATCCACTAGATACATGACTGTCCTTTTTGCCTTCCTGGAACATGTCTTAGAACTCAAATACAAAACAATTTTACCCTGTAAAACAACAAAACAAAGACTGTAAAAAATAATTCTGGATACATAGATGACCATTTTCCCAACTACTAACCCAAATGAGCATAACATAGTCTTGAAGGGCATATGAGAATCAGACAAGTTTTTTGGCCTTCTCAGTCACAGATGAAATCCACAGAAACATGATATTCTATTCCATCAGAATAGAGAGACTAAAGAATACTCCTCATCCATTCAAGATTCAGACTCAAAATTACAAGTACAACCCTCTGAACCATGTGAACTTTTGCATAAAGCTAGCTGTAAGTCTGTCATATAAACTACAAAGAAGAAAAAACAAAATATTTTTTCACTCCTTTTTTTCCATTTTTATATTTTCCAAAATTACATGTATTCAACCAGCAGTAGTCTCTCCTAGACCATATTTCTTCTATTCACACTTTAGGATTATCTGTATTGACCTGATGAAGATCTATATAAAAAACAAAAATGACATCTCCAAACAGCTGAATGGAGAATATTTAAACCTTTTGGGTAAACAAAATTTTCAAGCTGATGCATGACCAGGAGGTCCATTGAAATAATCAAAAAGTCTAATGTGTAACATGAATTGACAAGTGAATAACACTTAAGTGGACTGTATGCCAAAGTAAAAGCCACTTTTCCTTCCTGAAAAAGTAATGTATTTGAATCTCTTGATGTTCAATGAGATAATCACAAAATCCAATGAGACTTTCTCGAAAGCACAGAGATATTGAAAATGTGATATCACTAACACCTAATCTTGATAGAGGAAATTAAAATATATAATAGGGTAAGTCTAGTAACACAAACACCATCAATTCCATAAACACATAAGGAAAGGGAAAGTGAAATCCATAAATTAAGTCCTTCAAACCAAGTGTACAAGGAAAAATGCTTACACAAAGGGTAAAAAAGATACAAGATGAAAGAACTACAGGTAAATACAGAATAAAATTTCAAACACATACAAATTTCCTTTTTAACATAATCAGATACATCAAAAATTTTTATTGCTTTACAGGAATTTCATAAGTCTTATAAAAATTATGAGCATGAGAGCTTTTGAGTCATTTTACAAAGTGACATGAAGAAGTGGGAAGAAAAAGACTTGTACGGACTGCACATCAAAGTAAGAGCTACCTTTATACCTGGAATGAATAATGTATTTAAATCTCTTCTTAGTCTCAGATAAGTCAGAATAATTACTATATACAATCATTTTTTCATCTGTTTAGAGCATTCATTCAATCAACAAAAATAAGAAATTCAGAAAAATAAAACTAATATTTAACAACAACAAAAATTAGGAATTAGAAAAACTTTACATTAAATATATTTTGACATTTACCAATACCTTATTGAAAATAACTGTGAAAACAGTGAGGAAAAAGGATATCAAAATTAAAAATACAAAAATGCTCTACTTATATTATGTGAAATGAAAATACACCACAGTACAATGATATGTTGATAGTTTACACTGTGACTGGTCATTCAACCAGTTAGAAAATGCAACACCAGTATAAAACCCATAAAAATACATGCAGTCAAACCATGTCCAGTAGTAGTAATGAGAATTCAATCATGTTTCCCAGGACTAAAAACCACATGACAAATATATGGGTGGTCAAGGATATTCCATGCAAAAACATTATGGCACAACTCTGTGTTTCAGTACCAGCTATATACAAGATTCATGAGAGTATGTTAACCTATCACTGAAAATAATTAAAATGGTTGACAAAGAAAACCAAAACACTTCAAAGTAGTGTGGGATCAGTGCAAGTTTGGGGCTGAATCTCTTTCAAAAGTAATTTACACAAAACTAATGATACTCAAACTATCGAGTGCTGAAAAATACAGGCAGATTCTGATTCATTATTCCATTCCCTCAGGAACAGAATTCATTGGGGGAGATTCATCTTCTAGCAAGACAATGTGGTGAAATTATTACTTAATGGTAAAGAGGCTGATGGAACACTCACAATATGGCTTGGTCTACACAAGTCCTAATATGAACATAAATTCTTGAAGCTGTATGAATTTATGTAAAAACTGGAAGATCAAAAAGAGACCAAACAATTTGAGGACAATTGGAAGAATATTCTACAATCATACATTAAAAACTGTACAGCAGAATGAAAACAAGGTGTAATGCTCTATGTAAAGCAAAGGGCTCATATAAAATATTAGGGCACTGTACTACTTATTAACTTTCCTTTTGTATTTCTATGTCATTAATAAATTATTAATATATTTGCCATAACTCATCGTTTGTGACTCCTCAATGTGTATTGCTTGTGTATTTCTATTACTGTACACACACTAGGGCTATGTGATTTACCATTTACAGACCAAAGTAACAATCAAACAGTATGAGTGACTTTTTATTTTTTATTATCCAACAGGTTTTTCACTCAATATATCAGTATTCAAACTACTATTATGCTAATTTTCATCTACATACACAAACTTTTGAGTGCTTAACAAGTCTTTCAAAAAATTGGGCTTGCCCCCCAAAAACTATTAAAAAAAGGGTTCCGTAATCTTTAAAATAACTTTTTACAGCTCTTTCTCTGTTAACATATAAATTCATAACTTATTCTTCTTCCACCTCAGAAATACATACTTTTGATGACCATGAACAAACTACAGCACCATCAGAAGGCAGCAGGCATTATCTTAACTAAACTGCACAATATATACTTATTCTGTTTATTCTTTAAATTAATGTTGGATAGTTACAGCCATTTTTAACTTTGTAACATAATGATAAATTGGTTTTCAATTTAAGGGATAAGATATTCTTGATTCAAAACAAATGTACATAAACCATCAAACATCTTTTTAACTTTTTATACTTTAGATATTTTGTAGATGGTGTATTTCTGAAGTATAGTCTTGAAAGAAATTCAAATACTAGTAACAGGTTACCTAGTTAGATTGTTACAGTAAATGAAAACCAAACTTACCACTATTCTTACCTCACAATTTAAAGGTTGTGTATTGTCAGTTCTTGTTTCACAAAACTCATGACCTTCCTTAGAATTATACAAAACTGGTGGGAAATCAAAGACTCTTTCATCTTTTTTGAGTATGTTTGCCTTCTCTTGAGCACTGCTAGGACTAAGTTGGTACCTTGTTTGTTCAGCAAAACCGGTAAAACATTCTTCTTCTGAAAGTATGCCTGTCTGGCCCAAGTTGTCCATAATAACTAAAGAATCTTCTGAAAAATCATTTAAGGAATCCATGAGATATAAAGACATAAATGGCTAAAAAATACATTAAAAATATTGATAACTATGTAGAAATAATTATACACATATATAGTTTGAATTATATGTATATATATATTAATATACATATACACACAGAGATAGAATTCTAACACAAGCAAAAATCCAAAAAGAAAATAATTATTATTAATCAAGCATTCACAGAATCTACATATACACTATTAATTTAAAAACTGTTATTAAATAGTGACATGTGTAATAAATTAAACAAGATATACTTTTCATGACTATTTAAACTTTAAAACTTCCACTACTGGCAAATCAAATGAACTTACCTATAACTCTCTGAAACACGTAAGCTAATACTCATGAATATTGGATGATCAATTTGTGTACAAAAATCATGGAAACTAGAGCATGGCAGTTGCTGCACCTGCACTCAGTACAGTCAGACTTGTAAATTTAGTTAAATAAATAAAACAGGTACTTGTAACCCTTCCTAGGCAACAGACCTACTTTAGTACAAACAGTGTGATGTATACATATATGAAAGGTTAGATAACACGTTCAACAGATATATATAATGAAGTGCACCAAAAACCCATCTAGGTCACTTAAAACCAGATCTTAATACTATTATAAACATAGAGTTAAATAAGTAAAGATATGAAACATAACATGTATGACTTATTTTCATATATGTGAAATTGTGAACATAGCTCAAAGTACTGAATTTCTGAATTCAGTTTAACAAAAAATAGAAAATCTGATAACAGGAAGTAAATATTAAAAGAACTTTAAGGCAAACAAATTATATATGTGTGTAGGTATGCATGTATGTATGTAGTTATACCAAAAAATATATATATATACCAGGTTACAATTTAACATTTAATCCATGTTTCTTTACCCATTAAGAAAGCTCATTATCGATAAAAGAAATAAAATCATAGTAGTAAATATGAAAATGCCAAAATCATAAGTTATTTCATATTATATTTTTTCTATTTTTATATCTAATAAAAACGTTAATATTATTATGTTGTAATTTGTTGTTTGTAAAAAAATATTTTAACAACAAGATGAAGTTCTGGACTGGTGGTTACATTTTTCCTATATTGTAATATAAGAGACATGAGTCTTTGTAACTTTTAAGTTAATAAAGAATTAAACAAATTGTGATTTAAATACCTCAAATTGTTAAAAGTCTGGGTAAATAACATTAAACATTTTATTGATACACCAGACAACTAGTTTAAAATGATAAATGATAACTGTTTAAGTTGAAACCAATATCTAAAACCTGAAATACATTTCAACTCTATACACTGGTGTCCAGTCACTGAAGAAAATACTAGACAGTGTTGAAACTTTGTCTGATGTTGCAAAAAATGTTTATTGTCAAATTCTGACAACAAGTCTTAAGGAAGTATTAAAAACTACTAATGAAATGGCATTATATGGAAGCAAAAGTAAAATGTATATATAAATCATGCACATACACATGGGGGTTCAAGGAGGTTCGGGCAAATCCCCTCTTTTTTGGGATATAAAAAAATACTGCCGCTAAGTTCATGTTCATGTGAACATTTGGCATCTGCTCTCTGCCAGCTGAATAATTACCTGAGGGGTACACAAACCAAAGAAAGACTGAATGCTATAGCTTTAATACATAATCATTATGACACTGCTATCAACACTGAAACTGTATGGAAAAGCACCCTGGAAGATTGAAGCATATTAACATGTTATTTCAATATTGCATACATGTGCGTATGCGATATCCAATGATTGAAATAGCTAACATACTATAGTTGTACAGAGTTGTTTAAATTAGCAATATAATTTAACAATTAATAACTACTCTGAATGTAGATAGTACAGTACTTTACTATAATAAAATATACATATTTATGCTACTTTAAGTCTAGCTCCCAATGCAATGCTACAACAGAATGATGATTTGTTGGCTTTTCTTTGGATGTTTGTGGATTTTATGTGAACAAACATGCAATTGTTTAAGCAATATTTCATGCAAAATTGCTTTCAAATTTAATCTAATAGCAACTATTTTTTACAAATTTTCTGGAGATGCATACCTCCAGACCCCCATATCATTTGCATGCCAATTGTACTTCTCATAATATGTGTTGGCTTTTGGTCTCATTACTTAGAACCCCTCTTTCAAACATTCTGCATATAGGCCTGATATAAATAATTGTTACGTATCTGCTTCTTTGTTAATTTCTGCTATAAATTATTTCCGAGGAACTTCAGCGATACAAGTTCTTTCTTAATTAAACCAGTTTATTTTTTCCTCGATACAACTTTGTAATACACAGAATTTCCAATCAGTACGTTAAATTTAACTACTTTTATAACACACGCTATAAATCACAGTGATTCACACACTTTACTTACGGTACCTGCTGTTCGCTTGACTCAATTATCTATCTGCCCACACACTGGTTTTTCTTGTCAGGCTTATTTATTAAAAAAAAGAGGGCACCTCGATCAGACCAGAGTTGCCAGGCAAATTCATATCCCTTCGAGAAACTCCAACGAGCATACTCCCAGCGTCATGTGACTTCCGCTGTCGTAACACTACCCCTTCCTTAGTATTGTTTATCCCCGAACAATGG